CAGTGTCCCGAGGTTCAGCGTCTCCTCGCCATGCACAACCCGCAAGGCCATGCTCACGTCACGGTCATCCTCCCTTCCCGGTCAGTCCTCGGGTCACGGTCATCCTCCCGTCGGTCCATAAGTCTCCGGGTCAGTCCCGGCCCGGTCATAAGGTCTCCGGGTCACGGTCAGTCCTCTAGTCCGGGTCACGGTCATCCTCCCGGTCCGGTCATAAGTCTCCGGGTCACGGTCATCCCCGGTCGGTCTAAGTCTCCGGGTCCGGGCTCTCCTTCCGGTTAATCTCGGGTCCGGTCCCGGGTCATAAGTCCGGGTCACGGTATCCTCCGGTCCCGGTCATAAGTCTCCGGGTCACGTCTCCTCCCGGTCCCGGTCATAAAGTATCCGGTAAGCGGTCATCCTCCCGTCCCGGTCATAAGTCTCGGTCACGTCATCCCCGGTCCCGGTAAAGTCGCGGTCCGGTCATCGCCCGGTCCGGTCATAAGTCTCGGGTCACGGTACCCTCCGGTCCGGTCATAAGTTCCGGGTCACGGTCATTCGGGTACGGTCTCCTTAGAGCGCAACACATCGGCGCCCGCCGTGGAGCGGCCCGGCGGTGCGGGCGGGGCAGTGCCCCGGCAGCGTGGCAAAGCCGGCGTCGGGGGGGTGAGCGTGCCCGGCCGGCGTCGGTGCCGTCGGCGCCGACGCTGCCAGCGCGCCGACCGGCGGCCGAGCGCGTGTAGCGCCGCGCCACCGGCGTTGGCACGGGCGCGGCGGCGCGGCGCGAGCCGGCGCCGGCCGAGCCCCCGCGCCCCGGCGCGCTCTGAGCCGCCGCCGAGCGGGCGGCGACGCCACGGCGGCGACGGAGGCACCGCCAGACGGCTGAATCGACCTGGGCGCCGTCCAGCCTCTGGCACACGCCATCCTACGGTGGCGGGTGCAGGCGCCGCCGCCGACGTTGTTTTTATGATGTCTGTATCGGCTGCCAAAGCCACATGACATGATGGTTGGACGAAGATAGCGACGCCATCGGGGCTATATTTAGGAAAGGTGTGAAAGAAACGGCGGTCTCGTCTCGACCGCGACACAGCGGTAGCGATGTGGCAGGTCCCCTCTGTTGCTGGCCGACTCCGGCTGTTGGGAGAGCACTGTCTCTCCGGAAATGGATCTAACAGATTTACGGCCGCGCCGGTGCCCGTCCTTGAGTGGCATTGACCCAGCCGGAAGTCACCAGCTGCGCCGTTGGCGCCGGCGCGGACAGGCCGGTGTGGTGGGCTTGCCTCCCAGCAAGCGCTCCTGAAATGCCACGCAGACGTGCCAGGGTTGGCGGCGCAGCCCGTTCTAGCGTGTGGCATGACGTCTGACGGCGTCGCCTCGGCGCGCCTAGGTCTGCACGGGCGGCTGGCGGAGCCGAGCGCTCGGCCGGCCGCCGCCGTCAGGCCGCTGCAGTGTGGGGGGCTCCATCAGACGCAGATCGCGCCCGCCGCGTCGGCAGCTCGGCGGCCGCCGCTGGACACCGGCCTGCGCCTGACCGCGGAGCTGATTGTTCCGCGGCTGACAGATTGGTCGGCCTCCGATGCCGCGGCGGCCGGCCGCGAATGCCACCGCCCACGGGAGCGGCCTGTCGGCGAGTTATGACCGCTCAGGAGGCCTCGAAGGGCCGCCCGCGGCGTCTGGTCGAGACTTTATGGCCGGCTACGCCCGCAGTCCGGGCTTTTGCGAGCCGCACTAATGTCGCCGCCGCCGCCGCCGCTGCCGCGCCACGGTACGTGCGCCGCGCGACGCCACGCCAAGCCACGCCTCGCCTGCGCCACGCCAAGCCACACCACGCTACGCCACGCCACGTCGCGCCACGCCACGCCACGCCGCACCGCGCCGCGCCGCCGTCCGGCTAGCCGGGAACAAGACCGATGTCGTGTTTTCCCTGGCGAGAGGAAAGAGACCCGCGGGCTTCTTTGGCGAAGAGTGGCTGGTTTTTGTCGGTCGGCTCGGCGCGAAAAGCCCTCATCCAAACAGCGTAATCGATTTGCTACGGGGAAAAAACGACACGAAAAACGATGTTGTGCTTAGCGCTTCGTCAGCACGGCGATAGGAGGAAATAGCGAGGTGTCACTCCGCGGCCAGAGAATTATGGGAAGCCCTGTTTATTAGATATCGATCAGCGATTATTAATGGCGTTCATCCGGACGTGTCGAGCAAGGCGGAGTATTGCGTCACTAGAAAGGGATGAAAATGAGTTCAGAACTTGTAAGATCTTGAAATGCTACGCGCTATTTCCGAGGATTAGGACAAAAGGTGATGCGGGTGAGGAAAACTTGCAATACATTTATTGTAATTATCGCGACATCAATGCCATTAACGCAGTCACCGCGTCAATGAATCTTACTGGAAAGCTTTAAAATATTGTCGTAGTTTGGTAGGAGGAATGTTTGGTCTATTAAGCCCTCTGATCCCCTCCCTCCCCCCCCCCCCCCCCATCCCGCCCCTTTCGCGTCCACCATCGTGACACACCGATGAGGAGAGACACGACGTTTGCCCGACCCCCCACCGATCGGACGCTCCATTAGTGCATTCGCGGAGTCGCGGAGTCATCGCGGAGTCCTCCTCTCGGAGTCGCGACGTCACTGGTCAGCGGCAGCGGAGCCGCTGTCGACAGCAGCGGAGCTCGGTCACGGCGGCTCGAGCTTTGGCGGCGCGGCCCGACCCGAGAACAGCGGAGCGGCCCGACCCGGCTGTAGCGGAATCCGCTCACGGCGGCTCGAGCTCTGGCGGAGCGACCCGACCCGAGAACAGCGGAGCGGCTCAACCGGGCAGCAGCGGAGCCCGCTCACGGCGGCTCGAGCTCTGGCGGAGCGGCCGGCACTCGCCGAGCGGAGCAGTTGGGTCCCTAAAGTCCGGAGTCCCCGAGCGACGTCGGATGGTGGGGCGCATGGGGCGGATGTAGCATGCACGCCACGCGGGGGACCGGCTTTCGCTACCCTGCTCCGGGGCAGACAGCAGAGACGGGCACAGGCGGCAGCGCCGGCCGGGGCGGACAGACAGGTGCAGACACGTGCAGACTGCCGCGAGGGACGAACGCGGACGGTGTCAGTTGAGAAAGACAGACGCAGACGGCGACAGCTAAATCGCGCTGACGCGGGCGGAGCAGGAAGCTTTCCCTCGCGGAAGTTTACGCGCGACAAGGCAGCGCGCGCCGCCGCGATAGCACCAGCGGCGGTGGCGACGACGGCCGGCAGGGGCAAGCGACGACCGGCGGGGGGCGGTATGCAAATGCGCCGGCACAACCGTCTCCTCGGCTCGTGATTGGCGGAGCGGCAAGGCGTAATCGAATGCGACGGCGCTCTCGGGACGATTACGGCGCACCCGCCGCCTGCCGACGCGGAACTTGGCTCGTCGACAGGATGTCGGAATTGAAACAACACGTGATGGATAGCCGGGGAGATGAGCGGTGTTCGGAGGGACACGGGCGGCGAGAAACTGGGCAGGTCGGACCTGGCAGAGGCCTGGGCTTCTGCCAGGGCAGCTGGTAGCTCGGATTAGGCCTGTCGTCCTCAGGCTGGGACCACCCAAGCTGGGGGTCGAAATAGCCGGGAGATGGATTAGTTGTGTCCAAACTTGAGACATCCGATCGGACTTGACGAACTGCTTGTGCAGGACATTCGAAAGCTTTCAGATGAAGTGCCGCCCCCGTGTTGCGTGTGCTAATCTTCTGTGCGGGTCCTCATCTACTCAGAGAGCGATTTCACCAGCAGTAATTTGTCCAAAGAGCGATTTCACTCATCCAGAGGGCGACGGCGATCCGTCATAAGAGGAAGGGAGCTCGGCATTGCGCCGCCATCCATCAGATGGACGTCTGAGAGCGATGCCGAGGTTCGGCTAACGAACGGTAATTGCCCCCTTCTCGCCGCGCGGCCAGACCAGCGCGCCATCGACGAGAGTGGCGCGGCTGACCGCGCGGCACCGGGCACCGCTAATGAGCTGTTTTGTCTGGCACCAGTCGATAATTAGCCGGCGCCCCTCCCCTCTCCCCCAGCAGCGGCTCCCTGCGTGCACTATCAGAAGAATCTACGCGGAGGACCGGGCCCGGGATCGGCAATGGGGCTACACATCTGGTGTTTAGCTCTCAGGCCCGGCCAACGAGACCCTGCTGAGACCGTTGGTGAGAATGAGACCCGACAGGGGACCAGGGCGGAAGCAGCGGCAGCGGTCCACGGTTTTGGGCCGTCCACGGGCGCACGTGCTCTGTCCCGGCAGATGTGCTGTCGGGCACGACCGGCGCTCAGGTCCAGAGGGTGGGCCTCCTCCGCATTGACCGAGCTGACTTTCCGGAGATCGATGCGGATTGTCCGGCTCATAAGTCCCGTTCATAACTCGGTTGACTCAGAGTGGGAGTAAATGAGGCGTGCCTCTGGCAACGCAGCGCGCTCGGCACGGCTGGCGGTTAATGACCCTCCAGACGTTCTCGGCGGGAGTTCGGCAGCGCAGGCTGGCGGTCATGCATGCGTCAATAAATGTTACCTGCCCAACCGCTCCGTCTGATTGGGATCTTCGACAGTGACCTCAGACGTGAAGCGTGGCGACACCAGTCTGCGCCGAACGCGATTAAACGTGGTGACACCAGTCTATGTCGAGCGTGGCAAAAAACGTGGCGATGCCAGAACGCGGTAAAACGTGGCGACACCAGCCTATGTCGAGCGCGGTAAAAAGTGGCGACACCAGTCTGTGTCGAGCGCGATAAAACGTGGCGACACCAGTCTGTACCGAGCGCGCGGCAAAACGCGGCGACAGCTGTCTGTGCCGAGCGCGCGGTAACACGTGGTGACACCAGTCTGCGCTGAGCGCGGCGGAACGATCTCCAGTCACATAACATCACACGACATCCGAGCCAGCAGGACCCCCTAGCCATCACGAACGCTGTCGGACGGTCTGCACGCGCGGAGGGCATCCCGCGAGAAATGACACGAGCCAATCGCCGCCCCACACGCGATATGACGCCGTCTGGCCGGCCAATGGGCGGCACCCACCTGGAACATGAAGTGTCGCGAGTTGCGCTGGCCCAGCCACAGCTGCAGGCGCTGGTCGCCTGGCAGCGCCGCGCCGGCCCAGCTGGCGTTGCGCTCCGCCAGGTGGATGACCCGCGAGTGCACGTGCCGGCAGTCGACGAACACGTCCAGCTGCTGGCCGGACACGGAGACGGCCAGCCTGCAGGAGCGCCGGTGGCGGTCAGGGCGCGGTCAGCCGGGCGCGGGCGACGGACGCGGTCACGGCCACGCTCGCCACGCCCTTCCGTCGCGAGACCGGTCTGAGATCCGCGGGTGATCGCGGGTCTTCAGCTCCGTACCCCGGGCACAAACCCCGACAGGACCCCCATAGGTTCAGTCTAAACACGACAGGCTGCAGCGATCGGGACAGCCAGCTTCCAAACCTCGGTTGGTTTCGATTATAGCCCAGAGCAAGCGCATTATGAAGGGGTTTGTCAGTCGTGGTTACTCCTCACCACCCCATCAAAACAAACTGCCATGACTTCCCCGACTGAAAGGGTGGTATGACACGTTGGGTCGCGCCAAAACTGGATGATTCGGCTGAACTGTCTCTTCATATTGCACCTTTCGTCGCCAAAACTCGCAGTCAGGTCAATGGGACTGGCTTTAAATAAAGTAGCACACGGCAGGGTGGGGCGGCTGTGTGTGTCCAGTGATCATATCCCGGTCATATCGCAGCACACAGCAGGGCGGGGCGTCCGTTTGTGTTCAACGATCATATCCCGGTCATCCCGCAGGTTTGTTAGGCAGTGGGGCCACGTATTGTGGCTTAAAAGCGGCGCAGCGTTCTTCTCAGGTGCGTGTCCAGTTATGGTCCGAAAGCTGCATTCGAATTCACCTGTGTTTGCTCTAAAATATTTTGATGCCAGATGGAATGTTAATTTCATGGTCTCTTCCAGACAATACCTGGATGCGCTCCCACATAACGCTTAACCACAAAGCGCAGGTTGGACGTTGATCTAATCGCTACAGGCCCCACAAGGAGCATTTGCCAGCACGACTTTCCCAAGAGGCGTTGCCGGTCACCACCAGCAGCCGGGCCGTGCGACCCGTGACGTCAGAGGGCCGGCGGAGTCTGGCCAGCGGCGCCGGTGACTGGGAGGCCCGTGAGACCAATCCACAGAACCACACGAACACGCCACCAGATTGTCAGCCACGCGCCAATGGACGCCGCCCTGTGCCTCTGTGCGGCCACAGAGCGCGGCTCAACATGTGCGCGGCGCGGACTATCCGTGCCGCACGAGGGAGACGAGCGCGAGCAATCGAGCGCCGGAGACCCGTCGACTTGCGGCGGCAGCGTTGCTACCGCTGGAACCGTTTTTGTTGACATGGGATTTTGGTACGAACAACACGGAGCGTAAAAGACTGTAAAGACTAACACTCGAACGGGAGGAAAGGGCATGCGACACACATGGCAGAGCTTCAGGAAACAAAAGCAACTTATGAAATGGGTCACGAGACCAGGGCTTAGATCCATAAAACAGAGCTGCCAAGCTGCTTACTGCATCATCATCATCACTGTAGGAGCATTCGCACCACAAAAGGTCTCACCGTTTGTGGTACGAATGTTAATGCAATGTTTCTTTTTCGCTTTATCTAGGCGGTATGTTCAGGAATAACTTAGCAGTAGCGGCAAAGCAAAAATTACACTTATGTGACTTTTGTCTTTCGGCACGTTCGTTTTGTTCTGTTTTTGTCGAAACCGTTTTGGCTAGCAATGACCATTTCACGGTTATGAGATGGAGGCGAGTGAATAATGGTGAGGCAAAAATACATGCACCTGGGGGCCCATCCGCCGAGGTATTCACACACATCCCTATATGGGGTATGTGCCCAGCGCTCGGATGAGGCCCCCACGAGGCAACACTTGAGCCAATTCATGGCTGGTGCACGTAGATTGCTCTAGATAAACAGGGTGACGCATGGAAATAGTATGAAGCGAGAATGAGGGGAGAAGGCCGGATGACTTCCGTGGTGCGCTTTAGTAGAGTGCAGGTTTATATATATATATATATATATATATATATATATATATATATATATATATATTTGGCATAAAACGAGACCAATTTGAGTGTTTCCAACCATGAAGCTATGCGAAATGCCCAACTCATATCAAATTTGCATTAAGTTGGTGGTGGGACCCTGGTCGCACATTATTTTCATCCAACCGAAAGAAGACTCGATACATATCGTAGCTGGGACGGAATCACACACGCACACGGACACACACACACACACACACACACACACACACACACACACACACACACACACACACACACACACACACACACACACACACACACACACACACACACACACACACACACACGCTATACAGCGGGCTGGGCCCACCAGCGCCCCCGAGGCCCGGCCGTCAGCTGACGGGCCAGCTGACTGCGGAGGGGGGGGGGGGGCGGGGCGGGGCGCACCTGTGCCAGCGGTCGTCGGCCAGCCTGTAGCTGAACGACTCCATGTGGACGTCAGGCTGGCCGGCCGGCTCGCCCTCCGAGCGCCGGCGCGTGTAGTGGAACCGGATCTCATCGGTGCGGCCCGACGACTGCACCTCCAGGAACCTGTCCGACAGAGGGGCTGGCGTCAGCGGCAGGGGCGGCAGCGGCGGCGGCGCAGCCCGCTGGGGGCGCGGGGGCCGGGGGCTAGTGCGCGCCGGCGGCCGGATACGGACGAGAGGTGACGTGGGTTAGACACGGGATAACATACCGCCACCGCGACCCCGCCCCGCGCACACCCACACAGAGCGGGGTCTGACTCGACAGCGGATATCCAGACCACCAATTGGTCGCCACTCCAGTCCTCTCCCCGCAGCCCCCTCCCTCCCCGCCATCCCCTGCGGTCCAATCTCCGGCGGAGTTGAGCGTGTTTCGGCTCGTTTAGGTGCGAGTCGAGTCAGGCGATCGGGCCCGCACCTGGTGCCCTGCCAATCAGCTGATGGGCTCTGTCTCCGGCCGGTGCCCTTGTCAGACGCAACGCCTCCGCACAGAGTCTGCCGGCACTGCAAGTGGCAGCGAGTGCTGGATCCGTCGGCTAATGAGGAGGGGTGTGACTGGGCGCAGCTGCTGTGATTAGACGCGTCACCGCTCGACTGGACAACGGTCCGAGATTTCGACAGAGATACTCGCTCTTCAAAACGGCGGAATTGAAGCGATTTGAAGCGATTTGGAAATACCCAGGCAAAGTATTTGTGATGACACTCGAATGCCTGGCATGGTGTTCCTATTTTGGCACACGGTGATGGATAACCGAGCCCTTTTGTCCATTTCGGGCGATTACATACCACCCAAATAATCCGATCGGCTTACCACTGACCCAGTCATTGTACGCTGCCCTTCATCTGCTTACATTATTCACTTGGTTTGCGGCAAAAGCATCCGAGCGTGAAAAGCAGTGTCCGACCCGCCCACAACACCGCCAGCTAATCCAAAAAGAGATGGCCGCAAAGGTACACAGATAGACGCCGCGCGACGACAGCAGAGGCCGGCCGTGTCACGTGGTGCCGTCTTCTCAGCACTTGCCAGGCTGAACAAACCGCGGGCAGCGTGACCCAACCGAAACGTGAAGGATTTAAGAAGGGAACAGCTGCGGTTCAGTTTACTGGCCGGAGCTAAAAACGTCCGCACGCGCACCCGGCACAGGTGGTGGCGCATTTGTCTCGGGTCGAACATATGGCAACCGCTGGCTGCAACACGTCAGCTGACTGACTCAGCGCTGCAGGACGGAGCGCAGGCTGACGCCGAGAGTCGGGTCAGCTCAGGTCAGGCACACACGAGGACGGCAGCACACTCGGCCGCCGGTCACGGACGGCCCAAGGCGCCGCACAGGCTGACGCCGTGGTTCGGGTCAACTCAGGTCAGGCACACACGAGGACGGAGCACACCTGGCCGCCGGTCACGGACGGCCCAACGCGCCGCGAAGGCTGACGCCGCGGGTCGGGTCAGCTCAGGTCACACACGCAGTTGGGGGACCGCCACCTACATGATGGCTGCCTTATATCGCGCAGGGACATCACGCGATCGACCCTTCCGTTGGATCATGAAGCAAACGCTCCAAACTGAGAGAAGGAACGCCGACTTTGTTATGGAGTAATATTTTTAATGGAGTGACCATTTTCCCAGCGCAGACATATTGCACGCCCCTGTCCAGTGAAGAAAAAGGTTTCCTTTCCGCACAGGCTTACAGACTGCTGCATCGTGGTCAAATGACTCAACCTCTCAGCTCACCCATCAAAAACCCGAGCAAAACAAAACGGGTCGTAACCGCCCCCAGTCAGTGGAGCGCTGTAAATGCAGTTGGCACGATTCCGGGTGGGCTCCCCTTCACGCCGCGAGAACCCCTCAACAAACACGACAGTTCGGCCCATAAATTACCGCCGATCGCTTTTTAAACGTCGGCTTGATCGCCTGGCGTTTCAGGGCTCCATATGCCCTCCGGCGGAGAAGGCTGTTACGATGGGCGATGATAAACTCGGTGGACGCCGTTGTCAACAGAGGACACATCCCTACGACGAAGGATGGTGGTCGGGCTCAGTGAATATGCATCACGCTGGCGTTTTATTTTCGCTCAGGAAACATCTATGATGAAAATTGTATAAGAAATGCTGGTCCTCGTCCATTGGTAGCACCGGTGGTGGAAATAAATACGCGTGGGCTCTGAAATGGAAAGGGCCCAGCTACTGAATGTTGTCTGGGGTGCTTGGTGGCTGGTGCCCCCACCTGTGCTGTGGGCTGAGCCGCCGTCCAGCATCGGTGGCAGTGAGCTCTGGTTGCCCGTGCATAGGACCGTATCGTGGACCTGACCAAAACGAGCGACCCTCTGGGGCCCGCTAAATTGCACGTCAGTGATACCATCCAATAATGGGCGCCCCAACGCCGCTTGTCGGAAACGCTCTGAGTCAAGAGGCCGCGTGACAGCGCCACACGCCCACGGCTCAGCCAGTACATGCTACGGACTCATTTGTCATTCGCAATGCACCATGAAAGACACGTAAATCAAGCGTCTGCGATGGTAAGCATGCGTGCAGCCTGCAAGCTTGGCCGACCTTGAACGCGTCTGAATGTGCGTACCTGCGAGCATTGGTCGTTGATGGGGGAACTTAACCCAGCGTGCCGTGCACCCCGGGAATAACGGTCAGAATGGCGGTCAGGGACACGCGATCTCAAGTGTGGCGTGGCGGGCGCATCCGGGGGCTGGATTAGGTACCGGCGCTCGTCATCCGATGAAAATCCTTTATGGCTGAGGGCTCTGCTTTTGAAACGAATACTTCCTTGATTGTGTCTCCTTCCGCCCTCGCAAAAGGGGTCGGATAATCGGAGTGGTGCGTAGATACGAGAGGTGACCGTAGTAGACAGATTTATGCTGATTTGTTCGTCTAAAATGAGCGCATACTGGCGCGTGTATGCTACTGCTGTAAATATACATGTCAGGGAGGCAGGGTACTTACATTTGTAAGCTATTGTCGTTCAGAATGCATGCAGCCATCAAAGTAACACATCGGAGTCCACCTTTGGCATGTGGAACGAACAGCTTTGCCTAGAAATTCGTTGTAAACCTCTACAGTTAGCCTAATTGACCAAAACACCACCAGGAACATACTCGGCACATATCAGCGCCTGGCAACATCAGGCCCAGCGTAGACGTCGTCACCATCGCCAGGCGTCGCCCCACCCGCCGCGAGCACGGCCTCGGCCCGTCCGCACGGAGCACAGTCTCACCTGTTGGCCTCGAAGGAGAAGGCGACGATAGTGCCGGCGTTCTGCGGCTGCTGGCGCACGTTGGCTAGCACGGTGAACTCGCTAGAGGTGGCCAGCAGCGCCAGCGACCGCTCCAGCACCGCGTCCGGCAGGCGCACCAGCCGCGTGTCACTGCGGGCCACATGCGTCTGTCAGACATCGCTTAAAAAATATTTGGGGTACGCCAGAGACTCACTTTCGCTACGAGGCTCATTCACATCACATCACATTGCGTTGCATCGCACAGCATTCACATTTACATTCACATTGCGTGCATAAGCCGAAAGCAACCCGCCTGAAGTCGAATTGCATAGCTCTTGTATCGTCCTCCTGAGAGGACGTCTGGGGAACGCCCTGAGGGTGAGAGGAACGTCTGGAGAGGTCCCTGAGGCTGCGCTCATAAGCGGAATGGAAGTGAGCTCTGGTCTGGGTCAGCCAGGGTCACTTCAGTTGGGGGGTGGGGGTGGGGGGGGTCAAGTGCCACTGCGGTCCGCCAGCCGCGTACTCACTGAGCGCTGAGCCCTGGCGCAACGGAGCGAGTGTGCTCGCTCCGGCGACAGTCGGCGTGCCTGGACACCGATGAGGACAGGGACGGAGACGGGAGGGGAAGGTGAGATGGGAAAGGCAGAGATGGAGGTATGACTATAGACTAAGGCCGAGGAGTTTGCGGGAGGGATACAGGGGAATCAATGGAAACATGCTAGAGAAGAGGAAGAAAGAGACACCAAAACAGAAAGAAAAAACATGAGAGGGGGAGAGAGATGAGAAGGAGAGGGAGGGAAGGAGGAAGGAGAGAGGAGAGGATTGAGAGGAAAGGGCAGACCAGGAAAGGGAAGGGAAGGGGAGGGGAGAGGAGAGAGAGGAGAGAGAGAGAGGAGAGAGAGAGAGAGAGAGAGAGAGAGAGAGAGAGAGAGAGAGAGAGAGGAGAGAGAGAGAGAGAGGGAAGAGAGAGAGAGGGGGGAGAGAGAGACCAAGAGATAAGGTCCAAACACGTTTCCCACCAGCGATTTCAGCAGCACTAATGCGAACTACCCACACGCCACAACAAATCCCTGGCTTGTCGGCCCCACAGCGAGTCCAGCGTTCGAGACCTGTTTCTCGGCTGCCTCCGGTTGGCAGGCGACGGCGGGGTCAGCCGCACCCAGTCTGGCACCGGTCAGGCCGCCGCTGGCCCGATCCTCAGGTCATCGTGGCCGAGAGGACGGCCACCCGACGGCAGCCAGGCCGCTAATTGATGCTGCCGCCTTTCATCAACGGGATCAATGCTGCCGTGCCAGCCCACTAATTAATTAGCGCGGTAAAACGTGCTCCGTCGCCAGGACGACAGGAAAAGGGTGCGGCTGAGGGCCCGACTAAGCTCAGGTGACGCGAGGCTGAGGGTGCGAGCCCTCATTGGAATCACGTTTGCTGAGACCCATGCGATAACGTTGGAAAGAGTGCAGATGGTATGCATATATATATATATATATATATATATATATATATATATATATATATATGTATATAAACATATATCTTGAAATAAGTTATCCAGTTCCTTATTGTGTGTAGGACTATAATCCACCACAATAAATACCAAGCTGCCTGTGCGCCACAGCTGACATGCGTTGTGTCACTGCTCTCTGTCAAAGAGGCGCAGGCATTGAACTATGCCAACTAATGCAATAAATCAAGCGTCAAGCCGCTTATTTCAAATGCATTCGCTGGGGCAGAGCAGTATACGTCTGAACGTTCCCTTGATAGAGGCATTCGAGCGTCAGCGCTCGTCGATCACTCAGGGGCGGCGGGGGCGGGGTGTCAGCGTTTCGTCCAAGCAGCGGGGGCGTACACATTCACGCGGTCGTAGCACGGCGAGCTAATCCGAGGCAATGGACAGCGCGGTGGTCGGAACAGTGCCCGTGCGCGGCGGTATCCCCCACAGCTGAATGTCGGCACCGCGTCCAGCGGCTCGCGAGACGGGTCAATACCAAGGCCAGTCTTTAGGCGGCGACCACCCAAAACAATACGGCGCCGCCTGCCCGAGCTGTATTGTCCTCGCCGGGCGCTGCCGCCTCACCGGCCGTTCGCCGGCGCTCCCGGCGCTCCCGGCCGAGGCGACGACTGCGCTCGACAGCATGGCGTCGCAAACAGTGCCCTCGCAAGGCGTAGCAGCCGCCGCGCGACGCTGGTCGCGGCTCTGGCCGGACCGCTGACTCCTGGTGCTGCAGCGGCGCGGAACACCACACCCGGGGCTGAGCCAGCTCCCATTACCGGTAGGCAGACGCTCCTAACGCAGCGCCGTGCCCCTAACGAAACAACGAGCTGGCCAGAACCGTTGCAAATGCGGCCGCTAGGTAGACAGTGCAACGCCCGGTCACTTGTCCGGCCAACCGCTGCAATCCTGGCACACCGCAAATGGCTGACGGTGGGGAAAGTTCCTGGCTGTAACTGCCGAGGTGAATGACAAAGTTTGACAATGGCGCATTGGCCGCTAATAAAACGCTCAGCGCTTGCAGGCCGGATGCCTTGGCGGTGCCGGCACCTTTCGCACGTGCGCCCGCCACGTGGCGTGGCGCCAGGACACGAGCGACCCTGACACCGACACCTGACGCCTCATAAATACTCTGAAATGCAGAACATGTCCCGAAACGTATCATTCTAATGGAGATAGCCTCTCTGCTCGCATTGTTAACCGTGGTATGTTGCGCATAGTAGTTTCTGATGTTTTGCATTTATAAGTGCCTGTTCCTTCCGATCAGCTAATTTTGTTGCCCTACATTGACAGGTAAGCTTTCGATCACACATCTGTGTTTTTATTTTCAAATTTATTTCACTCAGATTCCCCTACCTGAGTTATGGCAATCACAGGTAACTATATCTTCTCTCCTGGCGCCAAACCACCGTTTCCGCCATTAGACCATCATGCATCGAGACGGGTGTGAAGAAGTAAATACGGGCATCTGTGCAGCCCGGAGATCCCCAGCTGCGTGAGCGCGCACTCCTGGAGCGGCTCCCCAGGCTCAGCTCCCCAGCTGCGTGAGCACACACCCCTGGAGCAGCTCTCCAGGCTCCACCGCCCAGCTCCATGAGCACACACCCCTTGAGGTACTCCCCAGGCCCAGCTCCCCAGCTCCATGAGCACACACCCCTGGAGCAGCTCCCTAGGCTCAGCTCCCCAGCTCCATGAGCACACACCCCTTGAGCTACTCCCCAGGCCCAGCTCTCCAGTTCCATGAGCACACACCCCTGGACCGGCTCCCTAGGCTCAGCTCCCCAGCTCCGTCCCCTTCTTCCTCCCCTCACCCCCCACCCGCTCCGTCGCGTGCACGCGTACAGTACGCCCTGTTTTATTGATGTCTCCTCCGGTTAATCAATCCGGCCGTAGTTATAGTAATTCTACAAACACAGCAGCGGCGGCGGCGGCGGCGGCGGCGGCGGCGGCAGGCTGGTGTCGCCACAGAGCCGTCGCAGGTGCTACACGGCTCCTCACGGCGGGATGGGGTCGAGCTAGGAGGGGAAGGGGGGAGGGGGGGGGGGCGTGCATGGGGATGAATGGCCGCCAGTGTACCATGATCGCCTGCTGAATGATCTCAATAGATTTGAGGACGTGTGAGGGGCCTTGAACCCATTTAGTGCCTGATCCTCACACGTGACTGATCGCGTGGCGGACTGTGCCAAGTAAAGCTGTGCGTGCCATATTCCGTACGCAAAACGAACGCAACACGGAAGAGGCGAAGCGGTGGACATTTCGCTGCCTCGACAGCATGAATAAGGGGCCCCTTACGGAGATCATGGATCATAAGCAGCCCCGCACGCAAGCCAATCTATCTTCTGAATTTGCTAATCGGGGGCGTACCGAAGTCGTTCAGCGCTGACGTGAAGTTTTAACGCAAACGTCATGCTTTCACCCCGCGGACCACGCGATCGGCATGTGTTACGGGGGTATTGGGCTGCATTCAGCGGCTTGTGAAATTCCTGGCTATCAGCTAACCAGACGGATTTCCCGGCAAATGGCGAGTCCTTTGTTTCTGATGGTCCACATCAGTCACCGGATATGACGCGCCTGTCGCCGATAAGGACCAGGTAGCTCACGAGGTCTGACCGCGCGGACTCGAGGAAAGGACTTAAGTGTTAGAACTTAAACACGGCCACGTCTTCGCAAGCAGGCCGAAGCCACGCTCGTGGACTATCCACTGAACTCTTGAAGTAGGTCTGACATGACCAGCACCCTGCATCTGTAGCTGACAAGGACAGCAGCCGCCAGGGTTCGTCGTCCGTGAGATCGAGCTCCGCGCCCGGGTCCGCCTGACGTCACCGACCCCGGTGTGAGACTGTGAGCTGGCCCCCGCTCTATCGCAGCGGGGCTGGCGCTGATAGACGGTGACGGCGCACCGGTCACCTGCGCCGCGCGTGGTCGCCGCCCAATGTGAATGATTCACAGATAGAGCTCCCCCGATGTCGTCGATTGCCCCTCCCCGTCGCTGCCGCTCCTCCACGCCGCGTCACACTGCCGGCCACCGCCGCCTCTGACGGCCCCAGCGTCGCCGCCTCCGCCGGTCCCAGCGCGGCCACTTCCACCCGTGGCAGCGCCCGCCTCCGCCCGCAGTAGCGCCCGCCTCCGCCGGCCCCCAGCGCCGCCCTCCACCGGCCCCCCCAACGCCGCCGTCTCCGTCGGCCCCCAGCGGCGCCGCCTCCGTCGGCCCCCAGCGCCGCCGTCTCCGTCGGCCCCCAGCGGCGCCGCCTCCGTCGGCCCCAGCGCCACCGCCTCCACCCGTAGCAGCGCCCGCCTCCACCCGTAGCAGCGCCCCGCCTCCACCCGCAGCAGCGCCCGGCCTTCGCCGGCCCGCAGCGCCGCCTCTGCGGGCCCCCAGCGCCCGCCTACGCCGGCCCCCAGCGCCGCCGCCTCCGCCCGCAGCAGCGCCCGCCTCTGCCGGCCCCCCAGTGCCGCCTCCGCCGGCCCCCAGTCGCCGCCGCCTCCGCCCGCAGCAGCCGCCCGCCTCTGCCGGCCTCCAGCGCCCACCTCCGCCGGCCCCCAGCGGCGCCTCTGCCGGCCCCCCAGCGCCGCCTCCGCCAGCCCCCAGCGCCGCCGCCTCCGCCCGCAGCGGCGCCGTCTCACCGGTCCAGGTTCAGTGCCGGGGTGAAGCTGTGCAGGCCGGAGATGGTGGTCACGCCGGGGTAGGTGGTGTTGAAGAGCTGCAGGCCGTCGATCAGGTCCACCTGGATCCGTGTCTCTGGGCTGACTCCACCGCCCACCACTGCAGCCGGAGAGACGACTCTGTCAGTACGTCGCAGCGACCCGACAGACGGGTCGGCGGGGCGCACACCTCAGAGAACGTCGCAGCTATCGGAGGATGGGCCACCAGACGGACGGCACTCTTTGGACAGCGGCATATTATCTCCAGATTGCTGCGGCGAGGAAATCTACGGCTTAGCTGTGTTTGAAATGGTCGAATATATAAGCGGTATCAGTGGCGGTCCTTCCAAATAACTGGCACTTTGGCGGTGTCATAATTCCTGATATGGGCGTTGCGGGCCGTCCGACCATTTAAATGGCGATCAGACGGGTCTAAGCCCAACGATGAATGGTATGGGTGATCATGTCGTCAAATGCACCCGCACCATATCCAAATAATCGCATCTAAGCCATATTGAAAAGCCCCTGCAACCGTAAATTTCATAGTCAAACTTGCTTCTAGTGTAAACCACACCACATGCGGTATCTTGCAATGTAACTGAGTATGCATAACAGTTATAACAACCACCCGTATGGAAAGCAGTGGCTGAGCAAACGTATTGTCCTGTGCCAAACATGTTAAACCCGCAGTTTTTGTACAAGATGCGTGGAGGGTGACAGCACCAGAGCCAATTTTCACTTATGTAACCAGACGATTTTTCCTCGACAGCTAATGACCCCGGACTTTTCCAGCCGTTGTTTTGGCGCCGTCTACAGGAGCCTGCGTGGCCAGGTGCGTACCGTCGGTGTGGCGGGCAGCAGGCTGCCTCGGTGCGCTCGGCCTCGCCGAGCAGGCGGCTGGTGGCGGCGCCGGACATCGGCACAGATGCCCCGCCACCACGGCCACCACGGCTAGCAGCACGGCGAAACACCACGCACAGCAGCACGGCCGTGCGCGCCGCCGCCGCCCGCCCGCGCGCGCATGGGCCGGCGCCGGCGGGCACACAGCGGGGACCAGCGGCGCACGGGCACCGGGACACGGCGCCCGGAGCACGGGACACCGAGACCGGGACCGGTAGCGGGACCGGTCGGCGACAGCGGCGGCGGCGCGGCGAGAACTGGCCCGCTGGGCCGTGACACGACGCGACCCCGCGGCTATCGCGCCACTTTTGCTTTTACTCAGATCACCGGCCGCCGTTTGTTTAGCGGTCGCTATCAGACGGTGATTGCGCGTTTCCGCTCTAGTTGCCGCCGCGGTGGTGCGGTGTTTGCTCGCCGGGTGGGGGAGGGGCACGTGCTGCTAATGGAGTCAAGACGGAGTCCGACTGAGTGGCAGGTAAACAGGAGGATCGGACCAGCCGGTGCGATGTCTGGGAAACGGGAGAGCTTCTTCCGAGACGCGAGGCGATAACCGGAGAACAATCCACCGCCGCGCGATTGCGAGTCAAAGGCGACAGTTGTCAAGAAAGGTCAATCGATCGGCGCCCTGTCGTGTGAGTGGTGACTTATGTCACAGCTGTGATTTTTATCGGCAATGTTTGGGGAGTCATGTTCCTGTCAGGGACGTCATTCTGACACTTGTCGGACAGACAAAGCCCGCGCAAAAGGCGTCACTCTGCGGCGAACATCGGGGGCCCGGCTTCAGCGCAGCGAAAGCAACCCGGAAGCAAAACAGCCTGGGTGAACCGTTAGAAAGTGACACCAGTTACGCGTCGCAGATAGTGCTGGAATCTTCGTCTAATGGAAAGCAAACAAATCGGAGCTTTTTGCTGATAGTCTCCTGTCATCTCAACGCAGTGAAAAAGCGCAAGCCTGCTCTGAATATGAGTGCACTACATGCACTGCATTGTCGCTTAGGTAGACGCATCGGAAGGCACGTGTTTTTATTGACGCAGCGGAACTTTATAGACAGTAGCAGGCAGTGTATAAATTCGATGGAATGAGATAAAAGTGACCTATAAGAGGTATGACAGTCAGAAAAACCGCTAACACAGTAGTATTCGTTCTTATTTACAATTGATGTGCTTCATCTTTCATGCTTATGTTTGATGTGTTATGGGCGTTAGTCGTGTTCACAAATGGATATTGAATGATAGATTTTATTTTTTTTTTTTGCTAGAGAAATCGTGCGCACACATTCAGGATTCTAGGGAACTAAATAAGTTATAGCAAGAAATGTTATGTGACCCACATTTACTGCTGTAACGCCAGCAAGTTATTATCAATAACAGATGTTGTGTAATATGTTCCCCATACATTAAGAAAATGTTAGGGACTGCTTGGGAAGAACAATAATTACATAAATGCACGAATTTTGTCGTAATTGCAATGTGATCACATTTCACTCAGTGAACCTTATGACAATGAATTTTACGGATCGATCAGAACATTAAAATAAAGTGTCACACCAAAGACCAATGAATGGATCGAATCCGAGTCGATGCTTTTCGAAAATACATGTCAGCCTTAAGGTTGGCCTTCTGTCCAGGCGGACGACAAATCCGAAGATCGATATCGCAGGCGCGCCTATCGTTAATGGACACGTGTTTTCACCCGCAGTCTCATGTGAACCATCATAATCCAATAGCCGACATAGGCCGTCTGAATCTATCTGTCTGTCGCAGGTCCGCCATCGGCCCAATCTTGTCAAGACAGCAGGCGAGGGGCAGGAGCATACTCCACGCACACCAGCGCGCCCTGTGAACGGGCTGAGTGTGGTCACCCACGTGGCGCCCGCTCCGCACTGCTCTTGTCTCCAGCAGCGGTGAAAGGAGCCGACTCGGCTGCCATTGGGGTCCCGCTGGTGGCGGCAAGCCTCTCCAGTGTGTGGGGCCTGGCCGTCTGTGACGCGCCTCGCCCAGGGCTGACGGAGCGGCCGCACGTCACTGCCATGAGCGCCACGCGAAGACTGAACGGTGACGTCATCCGCGTGGGCTGACGTCATCGCGCCACGGACGGCGTGTCCGGTGTACAATGGGAGGCGGTCCTCGTGACGTTTGTAAACAGCGACTATTTCGAGGTGCCGGCCGTCGGGCGGGCACCTAATGAGCAAGCCGACATTGAAATGTGTGGGAAGCGCGCGCGCCCCGCCCCGCTCCGGTCAAACACTGGCCTTGGATGGATGGCAGTGCAGAGGTCGCTGACAACCGAGTACAGCGCCGACATCGACCGGCCCACCCCCCGCGACCGAAACAACCGACTGTTGACGTGAAACACGCGGCAACCGACACCCAGCCACTGCGCCCCACCCATCGGAGGCGGCGGCGCGTCTGTGCTTGAGTGACCGAACCAGCGCGCGGCGGCGGCGGCGTCGGATAGACCGGATCCCATGGTGGGGACCAGGGGCTGTCTGGCTTGGGTCTGGCATCGTCATAGCGGTTCTGAGTCTGGAACTAGCGTGAGCCGAGTAGATCGGCATATTGAAAAATAGGTATTTCCCTGATTTTTGTTCTGAAACCTGACGTTAGCCATAAATGGAGTGTCATGTATCAATGAAACACCGGATTAAGTATCTGCGTGTGGAAACGTGAACTTTTCATAACATAGCTGTATCTGAAGGCGGGTGCTTTCATACTTCCCATAACGCAAGGTATTCGCGCTCGCAACTTACAGCATCGCCTACACTAAGTTGGGCATGTGCCTTGATCGCAAATAGATTAAGGTTCCAAAGAAACATTCCACAAAATTGGGAAAATGTTTTGGATCTCAAAGGATCCTTCAACAGAATTACAGAAAAGATCAGTGATCGATTAGACCGTTTCTGGCGCATTTTGAGGCATTTTCCGAAACTTTGCCTCTGAGAGCACCCGAACAGTCATCACAGTAATTCAAGGACACATGCAACCACAAACGCATCTGGCAAACGAGCAGAAACACCATGGTTGGAATTTTCAGTTGGTTTATTAGGATGCGCTCATCTAATATGCCATCTAATGAACTCATCTAATGGACAGATGAATAATCTAAGTTTGACAGTTTGCGGTTGAGAATGGCATGTTTAATTAAGCATGCATGTAGATTACCATCCTGAGGAGCCGCAGTAACCGCGCCACCAAATACCGACAGACGACTCTGCAATTAACGGATGACGTGGCAGCATTTAGAATAATCATTTGGCGGAATAATTTGGCACAAATTAGAAAAAGATCCTGGATTCCAGCATACTGTCCAAAGAACCCAAAGTGGATCCTGGATCTGGACAGTGTGTGATTCAGATCTCGAAGGACCAATCCTAGAATTTACCCCTGGGGTCTAGACACACGTCTGCGCCAGGTCGCGCCGGTCGTCGCCGCCCGGTCCTCCTGCCATGCGCTCCCCTCCCTTAATTCCGCCAATTTCAGTTAGTGGGCTGCGTAACATCGGTGAAACCCCTCGCGCCTCACATGACTTACCCCATTTCACGGCCCGTTTGCCCCACGGAAACCCTTCTGACGCGCACCCTCTAATCGCTGGTAACATGAGCCAGCAGACAGGGTAAATAGAAACTCGGACTCCCTCCGGCCCACAATTTCCGCGGCTAAACGGTCCGCCGTGTGTGCACAGCCTCCACGTGGACAGCCGTTCAGCGCCGGGCGGCAAAAACGCCGCATCTGCCGGTCAGAAGGCGGGCCGAGACGCGTGCGGCGCGTCATTAGCTCGGCGGCGTCAGCTGTCCATGAGCCGAGTCCGCGCAGGAGTCAGTGAAGGCTCGAGCGGGAGCCTCCGCCCGGTGCTGCTGCAGCTCTGCCCGCGCAGGTGACGGGGGGTCGGACACCAGCCGGCCGCCTGTAATGGGCCGGCTCGGCTGCAGGTGCGTCTGACATCACGCTGTCCACTTCGCGGCGTTTCAGAGATGTCAGGTCTGACGGCCGTGCGGCCGAAGCCAGGTGCTGGAGCTGGAGCTGGAGCTGGAGCTGGAATGGGAGCTGATCGCTGGGTGTGGGGTACGGCCGAAGCCTGGCGCTGGAGCTGGAGCTGGAACTATACTGGAGCTGGCGCTGAAGCTGGAGCTGGAAATGGAGCTGGGGTTGGGGCCAGATTGGAATAGGAGGCTGACCGCCGTGTCCGCGGCCGGCCGAAGCCAGGCGCTGGAGCTGGAGCTGG